AAATGATACTCGTGAAGAGTGTGCTTCTTAGCTCAAGTAGATACATGAGACTAAATGGGCAGCTCCTGTCCAGAGGCAAGATGAGAAGGCAGAGAGGGTCAGGGGCTGGTTGAACGGACACAGGAAATCTGGGGTGGAAAGGAGGAGTGTGACGTCACAGTATAGGGAGAGCAACTAGGGTCACATAACATTGTATGTATTAATTTTTGTATGAGAGACTAATTTGAATTGTAAACTTTCACTTAAAGCACAACAATAAAAAAAAAAATCAAAAGACTCATTGCGTTGGGCAAATCTGCAGCAGAATATCTCCTTAATGTGTTAAAAAGCAAAGATGTCACCTTGAAGACTAAGGTGCACCTGACCCAAGCCATGGTATTTTCAATTGCTTCATAAACACGTGAAAGCTGGACAGTGAATAAGGAAGGCCGAAGAAGAATTGATGCCTTTGAATTATGGGATTAGAGATTAATACTGAATATACCATGGACTGCCAGAAGAGCGAACAAATCTGTCTTGGAAGAAGTACAGCCAGAATGCTCCTTAGAAGTGAGGATGGAGAGACTTTTTCTCACACACTTTGGACATGTTATCAGGAGGGACCAGTCCCTGGAGGACATCATGCTTGATAAAATAGAGTGTTAGCAAAAGAGAGGAAGACCTTCAACAAGATGGATTGACACAGTGGCTGCAACAATGGGCTCAAGAACAGCAGTGATTGTGAGGATGGCGAGAACCAGGCAATGTTTCGTTCTGTCGTTTATAGGGTCGCTATGAGTCCGAACTGACTCAATGGCACCTAACAACAAAATCTTTACCAGGAGCAGATCTCCAGGTCTTTTTTCCCCACAGAGCCCCTGGTGGGTTAGAACTGCTGACCTTTTGGTTAGCAGCTGAGTGCTTTAACCATTGTGCCACCAGAGCTCTTCAAATAATATCACAATTTTTTTTAAAGGAAACTAAAGAAGGATTTTATTTTTTAAAGAAATCTAATGAATGAAATAATATCATTAGATTTCTTTAATAAACAAAATCCTTCTTTTATTTCCTTTAGAAAAACACTTGTTATAGAAGCCCCATCATTAAGAGTTTTCCATCTAGGGATAGGATGAAGGTTTACCGAAGAGTTTCTTAAACCCTTGGGTCTTGAAAACTAGACCAATCCAGTTATTTGATAGTTTCCAGTGCCTTATAGACTCTGAATAAGGCAGAGCCCACCTACTTCACTTTCTGAGCTCCATGTCTGGTAGCCTTCAACATCTGCTACCTCACCAAGAAGGAGATGAATAGAGGAGTGTTAAACTTAGGGGAATCGGCTGGGTTTTAAAAGTAGTGGATTTGAAATAATGTCCCTTTCTAGTTTTGAAGAATCACTCAATGTGGATTATCAAGTAAGGATAAGTGCCATACTATTAATGTTCTATTTTTTTCCTCAGATGCAGTGGAACATCTTATGATAAGTGATCCATTTTGCTCCCTAGAAAGGTGGCAAGAAATGGCAAATATATGTTTACAGAATGGCTTTGACAAATTATCTAACGACATCATGTCCATTCTTCGATCTCAGGCCGGAGTTACAGAAATTTCTGAGGAGGATGATACGGTCAACTTAATGGGACATGTTTTTTGGTAGTTCCATATCTTATCCAGTTGAGGGAGCTTGTAAAACATTTTATGTAAGTTGGTTGGGCAAACTGATCTTGGCATAACTACCTTATAAATAAACCTAGAGTATGAAGCCCTCAGAAACAAATCGCATTTCCTTTGTTACGACGACGTTTAGGTTTGTCCTTGATACGTTTATATCATTGCTTCCTTTTTTTGTATGGTCATTTCTTATGAACCTTGATAAAATGCAATAATATAACTTTGGGTAAAACTCAGTGTAGGCATTTCTAGATAAGAGCCTAAGCTGATGTCCAAATATACTCCTTTTGGATGATCTATTTGATGACAAGAACTGAGGAAGATATGAGTAGTATCCTGTCTTCTAAAATACCAAATGCTACACTCTTGACTTTTGACAGAAAAAAGCAGAATGTCATTTCAAGGTTGAACTCTCTGGGGAGAACCTAAAGTATAATAATTTTGTACTGCTAATTTAAAGAAGTGCTACTTGCATTGGTGTATACACACGACAAAGATGAGGCTTCCATGATAAGAGCTGGAATCTTGGCATGTCCTGACCTAGAGTGAGACCCGCCATACTTTGCATGGAGGTAGAACCGAGGCACCACTGGGCATGGCAAAGGCATCGGAACAAGTGGGCTCGGATCATTTCCAGTGTCTGAGTAAGTATTTGATCGACAGCTCAAGAGTTCTGTGTCAAGGACAGGTGTGATGTTCAAAATATTGAATGATCAGTGTGGCACGGTCACCCATCGAGCAGAACAGATGCTGGACCGAGCAGAGTGTCTCTCAGCCCTTATGCCACACCAGTGCACACCAGCTGAATGCCAGCTTGATCCCGGCCTGGTAAAAATCAGCTGCTGTTAGATGGAATGGGAGCAAAGGGCATAGCTTGTCCCCTCCTAAATTTAAATTGAATGTGTGTTTCTTATTTTGTAATGGAAAGAATATGAACTTGGAGTCAAATAGCCTCTTATTCAAATTCTGATTTTACCTTTTACTCATTTGTAGAATATGGGCACTATCTCCCCTAAGGTGTTGTTGTGAAGACAAGTGATGATGATTTGTGTAGTGTGAGTGTATAGCGTGATGGCGGGACTCTGTATGTGATGATGATTTGTGTAGTGTGATTGTATAGCACGATGGCGGGACTCTGTATGTGATGATGATTTGTGTAGTGTGAGTGTATAGCACGATGGCGGGACTCTGTATGTGATGATGATTTGTGTAGTGTGAGTATATAGCACGATGGCGGGACTCTGGGATGATGATTTGTATAGTGTGAGTGTATAGCATAATGGCGGGACTCTGTATGGGATGATGATTTGTGTAGTGTGAGTGTATAGCACAATGGCGGGACTCTGGGATGATGATTTGTGTAGTGTGGGTGTATAGCATAATGGCGGCACTCTGTATGAGATGATGATTTGTGTAGTGTGAGTGTATAGCATAATGGCAGGACTCTGTATGTGATGATGATTTGTGTAGTGTGAGTGTATAGCACAATGGTGGGACTCTGTGATGATGATTTGTGTAGTGTGAGTGTATAGCATAATGGCGGGACTCTGTATGTGATGATGATTTGTGTAGTGTGAGTGTATAGCACGATGGTGGGACTCTGTGATGATTATTTGTGTAGTGTGAGTGTATAGCATAATGGCGGCACTCTGTATGGGATGATGATTTGTGTAGTGTGGGTGTATAGCATAATGGCGGCACTCTGTATGGGATGATGATTTGCGTAGTGTGGGTATATAGCATAATGGCGGCACTCTGTATGAGATGATAATTTGTGTAGTGTGAGTGTATAGCATAATGGCGGCACTCTGTATGAGATGATGATTTGTGTAGTGTGAGTGTATAGCATAATGGCGGGACTCTGTATGTGATGATGATTTGTGGTGTGAGTGTATAGCACAATGGTGGGACTCTGTATGAGATGGCTGTTCTTTGTAATAGGTCCCAGAGACACATCTTCTACTTGGTCTGTACTTACTAAATCCCACATTTCTATCTATCTGTATTTATATAATTATCCTTCCTGGAATATTTGATATATTGATATACCTTATTGCCTATTAATGTCTTAAGCTATCTGTCCACACCCATATATTGGGGTTGCCTGGCTTATCTTATAAATCCAGAAGGGTAGTGACTAAGTTTTCAGTTTTCCCATATAGTGCTTAACACAGTACTAGATAATTATTATACAGTTTCCTAAAACTTAGTATTTTTGCTAAAGTAATGTGTGTGCATAGTTTCATAATATATTACTAAAAGCCTTATAATAACTAATAATATTTTGATTTCTTAACTTCTCATTGGTCATTGTTTTTGAAAAGAAAAAATGAAGGGTGGAAAAAAGAAAGAGAAAGACTAGATTTCTTTGTGTACCAGTGGCTTGAAACGCTTTTTTCTTTGAGACCTCTATGATTGATAGAAGGCTGTTATCTGCCCGTTGACAGAACGGAGAAAAAAATGTGTCCACGAAAGACATGAGAATGAAGTAGGTATGCAGATCTGGAGAAAGCTTGAAACAGCATCTGTTGTTGTTGTTACTGTTAATGTTGCCTTGGTTTTAAAATGTTTTTCCTCCACTCATTATTATTCCTCCTCTCTTAACATTACTTTTGGCAGCTTTCCCAAGGAAAGTGAAACTTGACAAGTGAATATCAATTAAAATGCCTGGAGTTGGAGAATGGAATTGGGAGGAAGAGCAGCAATATAAAGTCAAGTGAGGAAGAAAGGGTTGGGTTGTGAGCGGCATAGGGCTTGGCAGCTGTAAGAACCTCCCTGTAAGCTGCACTGAGAAGTATGGTGGGCTTGCAGCACAGAAGCCTGGGTTCCAGATAAGCACTGCCACTGTCTAGCTTTGTTTCCTATTCCTCATGTTAAGATGAACTTGTTTTGACTGGATAATCCTTCTTGTCCTTTCCAACTATAAAATTCGTAATTCTGAAAAGGAATAAATGATTTCCCAGTGCTTCTTGACCTTCTGCCTAAAATTTAAATACAAAGGTTCAACATCAGCATCAACAACACATACTGAATACTTATTTTGTATACAGTTGTATCGCATTCGGTGAATCTGCTGCAAAAGACCTCTTTAAAGTATTATAAAGCAAAGATGTCATTTTGAGGACTAAGGTGCACCTGACCCAGGCCATGGTTTTCTCAATTGCCTCATATGTGAAAACTGGACAATGAATAAGGAAGACAGAAGAAGAATCGACGCCTTTGGATTATAGTGTTGGAAAAAGATATTGAATATACCATGGACTGCCAGAAGAATGAACAAATCTGTCTTGGAAGAAGTACAGCTGGAATGCTCCTTAGAAGCAAGGATGAGACTTCGTTTCACATACTTTGGACATGTTACCAGGAGGGACTAGTCTGTGAAGAAGGAATCATGCTTGGTAAAGAAGAGGGTCAGCGAAAAAGACGACCCTCAACAAGATGGACTGACACAGTGGCTGCAGTAATGGGCTCAAGCATAACAACGATTGTGAGGATGGTGCAGGACCAGGCAGTGTTTCGTTCCGTTGTTCATGGGTCACTGTGAGTCAGAAGTGACTTGTTGGCACTCAACAACAACATACAGTCTTTGCTGTCAAGATCACAACTTCAGTGGGGAGACACAACATTTTTTTTAAATTACTAACAAAAATTCCTTGGATCATCCAATACCCAGTCCATATTCCTATTTCACCCATTGTTTACAAATGTCTTTTTATGGTTGAGTTGTTCCCACCAGCATCTAAACAAGGTGAATGTGTTCTGTTTGGTTGTTGTGGCTCTTCATCTGGAGTATGCCTCCTCCACCTCCTTTTTATTCTCTTACCATTGATTGGTTGCGTTGGATTGGTTGTTATGCATTCTGAATTTGTCTGGTTGCTTCTTTATGGATTATTTAACTTGCTCCTCTATTTCCCATATTTCCTAAAAACGGAAGTTAGCTCTAAAGGCTGGACTAGATTTTGGTTCAGCTGTTTTGGCAAGGATACTTCATAGTGATGCTGAGTAGTTCACATTTCATATTATAAAGCACAAAATGTTGGTTGTTTCATCCCATTACTTTTTGAGGTAATGTCAAAATTCCTTGACATGGCCTGAAATAACTCTGCATATTCAGGATTCCAGCTGTCTTTTCAGTGTACCTCCCACTGTGCTCCTCACTTTCTTTGAGCCAGACATTTGTCTTCTTTAGTGACGTCACTGGGGGGATGGAGGTGTGGACCGCACCTACTGATACTGTTGGCAGGGTGACACCAGAATAACCCCAGAGTCTGCACTTGTGGCTACAGAGGGCAAGCCAGTGCTGCTGGGATAGGGACCACCAAGGCAGTGGTGTCACTAGGGTTGGTGTCACCTCTCACCCAGTGTGGTAACTCGTCACCACCCCCATCACATGCCAGTCAGGGTGTGGGTAGCTGAGCTGCTGCACCCGCCATTGCCTGGAGAGGAAAGTCTGCCTTGGCCAATGGGAGAAGGGAAGAGCTGTGGGGAGCAGTGAGGGAGGGGCAGGCCATGGGGTGGAGTGCTTGGCCCTGTGTGGGAGCAGGGTGGGGCCAGGTCACTCGCCCACTAGGGGGAGTTTGCTGGCCACCTCTGCCCTCCCTGGGCGGGGAGGGTTACACCAACCCTAGTGACGCCACTGGCCTTCCTTCTGTTTTTCTTGTAACGTGTTTTAAAACATGCTATTTCTTCTACCTGGAAGGCACGACTCTTTCTTTTTATCTAGTTAATAACTTTTCTTTCTTCAGATCTCAGCTCAGTTAAAACTTCCTCAGGGAAACCTTCTGTGATGGTAAGTGTTATGTGTCAACTTGGCTAGGCCATGATTCTCAGTGGTTTGGCGGACATTTTGTAATCATCCTCCATTTTGGTGATCTGATGTGAGCAGCCAGTCAGTTGGAAGGGGAGTTTCCTTGGGGTGTGGCCTGCATCCAGTATATATGGATCTTCTGGCAAAGTGCAGCTCTCTCCATCCTAGAAGTCCCCTTCCCCTCACTACTATTCCCCACCCAAGGGTAGTCACTGTCCTGGCTTCTCACACCATAGATGAGTTTTACCTGATTTTGAATTTTATATAAATGAAAGCATATTGTTTTTATTCTTTC